TATACTTCTATACTATATGTGTGTATCTTATACTTTGACTTATACCTTAATACTTTTATACTTTTATACTTTTATACCTTTATACCTTTATACCTTTATACCTTTGTATCTTTATAGACTTCTTTATTTCTGTATTTATATATCAAAGCATTCGTGCCCGAGTGGTCTAAGGGGGCCGATTTAAGCTCGGCTATCGCAAGATGCGTGGGTTCGAACCCCACCGGATGCATTCTTTTTATACACTTCTTATATATTCTCTATTATTCTATTATACTTATCTATATATATCTATATGTTTATTATTATCTTTATTCTTTTTATTATATGTATCTTTTTTATACTTATACACTTCTTATTATATATCTTACTATATTATCTTTACTTCTATTATATATGTTCCTATTTATACTTATGTCCTACTTATACTACTTATACTACTTATACTACTTATACACCCTTATGTATATGTATGTACACCTTATTATGTCTTATTCCTATTCATTTTCTTACTCTTTTCACTTTCTATATCCAAGCATTCGTGCCCGAGTGGTCTAAGGGGGCCGTCTCAAGAACGGCTATCGCAAGATGCGTGGGTTCGAACCCCACCGGATGCATTCTTTTATCTCCTCCTTATATACTCTCTATTATCCTATTATCCTATTATCCTTATTATCTCTCTTTTCTATCCTATATCTCTCATTTCTTCTATCTCTATTATTACCTTAGGGGATGTAGCTCATTTGGTAGAGCTTTCGCTTCGCATGCGAAGGGCAAGGGGATCGATACCCCTCATCTCCATTATTATCTAGATATCCTTTATTACTTCTACTTATATATCTATATATCTATATATCTATATATCTTTATATGTTTATATGGTTATATCTTTATATCTTTATATCTTTATATCTTTATATCCCTTTCTTTCTATGTATACCTCTATCTATTTTATTATCTATATTATTCTTTATGTCTATACCTATATATGACTACTTGACTATAC